GCTGCAGGTGGCCGTTTACTGGGGAGACAGGACAGCGTGGTCAGGACTGACCCCCAGGAGCCACCCCAACGGCTGTGGGGGGGCGGGACCCGTGTGGATGGTGTGAGGCAGCCTTGGCCCCACTGCGGGGACCTTGAGAAAATGAAGCCACTGGCTCTGAGGGGTGTCCCCTGCCCGGGCTGAGTGAAGCCGGGCTGGCGTCTGGGAGATGCCATACTGCCCCACGGGCAACAGCAGGCACTGAGCCAGCCAGGCAGCCCTGCCTCCTGGATTTCCCCGCCACGTCCGGTGGGAGAGGCAGCTGTGTGGCTACTGCAGACCCCCAGCTGCTGAGGTTACAGTGAGGTTCAAGGCCCATGGGGTGGGCGCCCTGAATGTGAAGGTGCCGTGAGGGTGCCTCTTGGAGGCTGGGAGCAGTGGCGGCCTGAGCCTGGCACGTCCTGACCTCCCAGGCAGGCTTCCGGAGCTTCCCGGCGGGAGCAGCTGTTTGTGGAAAGTGCAGACAGAGAGGGGCTTCTTCTGGGCCTGAGAGCGGGGTGCGCGGGGAGTGGGCAGGGCGGGGGGCAGCTTGCAGACACAATGACGCTTCAGAGCAGGAGCAGCTGAGCCTGCCTGGGTGGGGGGGGGGGCGGTGCTGCTCCCTGCAACTCCGGGCGGAAAGACAGGAATGTCTGGGCTTTGAAAAGGCACTTGTGAGAGGGCCCCAGCTCTGGCTCATGAAGAGCCTCTGTGTCCCGGCGCCTCTGACGAGCTCGGGGAGGCATCCTGCGCTGCCTCGGGTCCCGACTAGGGGGTCTACGCAGGATGCTGTGCAGACAGCGCCCCCTCCACAGGCACCCTCAGGGAAGGGCTGCCCAGCACCGGAGTCCTGAACTCAGTTGTCACGGAGTCACCTGGGCTGGTCCCGTCGAAGAAGCCATGCTGCAGACTGAGGGACCCACCAGGCGGCAGTCACCAACCTGGCAAGACCCAACGGGAGTCCTGCCACAGAACAGAAAGCAGGCCGGCTCCTGATGGCCTGGCTGCGCCACACCCTGAGCAGAGCAGCCCTAAGGCAGCATCAGCCCTCACTGTGACCCACGGGTGAGCTTGGGCAGTGGGAGGGCCCTGCCCTCACTCCCAGGGACTGCGCCTGGCCAAGCCGGCTCCTGTCAGACCAGAGCCTCAGTCCCGGATGCAGAGGCCATCCCAGCGCCCACTAACCCAGCTCTCTTGGGACCAACTGAGTCGAGATGTGACCCTTTTGGGGTGTCACCCACAGTCCTGCAATGGATGTGTACCCCCCAAAGGGAAATGGAATAAATGTCCTATAAGATGAGGTCAGGCTGAGGGCTCCACACAGAGCCCAGGCCACAAGAAGGGCTGAGGGAGAGGCTGCGTGGCTGTAACTCGCCATGTGCCTAGCGAGCAGGGAGGTGCTAGAAGCAACATCCCGTGCTGTGGGGTCACCGCTCCTGCAGGGCTGTGCTGTTTGGAAAGAAGTCTTCATGGAATAACAGAACATTAATAGGAGAGAATTAACTGCAAAGTATTAATACCTGTTTTTTAAAATGATCCAGAGCCCTAACCAGTTTGGCTCAGTGGATAGAGCATCGGCCTGGGGACTCAAGGGTCCCAGGTTTGATTCCGGTCCAGGGCATGTACCGTGGTTGCAGGCACATTCCCAGTAGGAGGCATGCAGGAGGCAGCTGATTGATGTTTCTAACTCTCTATCCCTCTCCCTTCCTCTCTGTAAAAAATCAATAAAATATATATTTTTTTTAAAAGGAGCCAGAAAACAGAAGCCTCTCCAAGGCAAGGAGAAAGGTCACAAGGCCAAAGGTCAAGCAGCCAGCTGGAGCCTAGATTTGACAGAGGAGCACAGCCACCCCTGGGGCCCAGGGCAGGCGGGGGCTCAGTCCCCAGAAAGACCCCACCTTTGTCCTTACCTTGTTCTGGGCCAAGTCCCAGGGGGACACCCAGCCATAGCCAGAGGCAGACCCCTAGGTGGAGGTGCACCTGGGCGCCCATGGTGCTCAGCCTGGGGAAGGAGAGGCCGCTCAGCCTTCTGTCCAGCTGTCCCCTCCTGACGGCAAAGCCAGAGCTGGTCCAGCCACAGCGGGGACTGTGCCCAATCCAGACGCCCCTGGACACTGCGCTCAGCCACTCGCCCCTCCCACTGAGGGTGCATCTGCAGGTCCCCCAGGAGCTTCCTGAGCAAGAGGTCCACTGTCCCTCTGCCAGCCAGCCCACCCCCGACTGGCTCAGCCACAGCTGGGCGCTGACCCGCGGCTGCACTCATTCGTCACTAGACCAGGCTGGGATGGCTGTCAGGGCCGAGGGGCCCAGGGAGGAACGGGCAGCTGGGGTAGGACCCAAGTAGAACCTCTGGGGAGAGCAGGCCTCTCGGTGGGGAGGGGAGGCCTAGGGAGGTGGGGCTGAGGTCATGGGGGAGCCCTCCGGGGGCACCCCTCCCTCCCAAGATGCCTCCTGACGTGCAGAGAGGACGCCCTCGCCCAGCCTCGCCCAGGGCAGGGGTAGCCAAGCTCTTGGGCTCCCCAGAAACCTGGCCTGACTCAGCTGGACCCCTTCCACGGGCAGAGCCCTCCACCTACCTCTGGAGCCAGCTCCTCCCAGCTTTTCTGAACGGTTGAGGCCACCCTCAGACGAGGCTCCTCACTCACCCAGCCCCGTGCCTCAGGCCAGCCCCCACCCGCTCAGGCCACTGGTCCTGCTGCAGCCACAGCAAGGCCAGGCCTTATGAAGCCTTCCTCCTCCGTCACTGCCCGCCGCCCTCAGCCTCCTCCCACCCCTGGCTCTCCACCCTCCCAACTGCTGCCCAGACCTTTCTCCAAGTGGGGCAGAGATCCCAGGGTAAAGGACCCCATCTCCACGGAGTGTGGGGCACAGCACTGACCCAACACCTTTACCCCTCACTCCACATGGTCTGCCCCAAAGAGGGGCTCAGAACAAAGGCCACCCCAGATGGCCCTGGACACCAAGGTGTGGGGGATGGGCACTGGGGTCCTCTGGCAGCCTGGAGTAGCACCCGGACCCCAAAGGCACACCAACAGCCCTCCCCAGTCCTCCAGCATCACTTCCAGGGTCAGGACCCCACTGGGTCTGTGCTGTGGTCCTAGTGCCCAGGTCCACACCCACCCTCCCGGGGAGCCCTCTGCACAGGCTGCATCTCTAGCAGTCTGCAGCCTCGGCCATGCTTGGCCCCTCCGTGCCTACCCCGATGGTCCCACAGCCGGGCAGACCTGGTCCCAGAAATCAGTGCCTAAATTGAGTACCCACCCCCGCCCTCATCCCGCCCCTGCCCAGGTAGAGATAGACAGGTCTGACCTCTGGGTGCTCTCAGGCCCCTCTGGGCTCAGCTTTTGCAGGTAGAGGTAATTGGGGGGGGGGGGGGGGAGGGAATGCAGGCACAGGAAACCCAGGACCTCAGGTTAGAGGAAGTTAGACTTGCTGGAGGCTGGGGCACATGGGGGTGATGGGAGCTAAGCGCAGGGCTGGCCCTCCCCAGAGCCCTGCCTCACCCAAGGTCCCAGGACACAGAAGCCTCAAGGCACAGGCAAGGTTGTCAGACACACGGGAGGCAGATGGGCATCACATTAGTGCCCAACCCCAGGGACAAGCCAGCCTGCAGCAGCTCAGAGAGCAGCTCCGGGTGGAGGGGAGGCCAGTCAACAGTGCAAGGAGACAAGTGCCACCAAATGCCACAGGGACAGTGTGGGGACGGGCCAGACACGCCCACTCCTCCTGCTCCAGCTGCCAGGAAGGCCTGGCCACCAGGCACAATGGTTACTGGTCGCCCAGGCGAGGTGCCATTCTGCTCCTGGCCTGGTGGGATGGGCCCGGGCTCGGGACACTGGCCTGCCTTCCTCCTGACCGTGCTGTAATGGCCACTTCTGAGTTGTCTAGGGCTGTGGTCGGCAAACTGTGGCTCGCAAACCACATACAGCTCTTTGGCCCCTTGAGTGTGGCTCTTCCACAAAATACCATGGCCTGGGTGAATCTATTTTGAAGAAGTGGCGTTAGAAGTTTAAGTTTAAAAAATTGGGCTCTCTCTGCCGAAATTGGTTTGGCTCAATGAATAGAGTGTCGGTTTGGGGACTGAAAGGTCCCGGGTTCAATTCCGGTCAAGGGCATGTACCTTGGTTGCGGGCACATTCCCAGTAGGGGGTGTGCAAAAGGCAGCTGATCGATGATGACTCTCTCTCATCGATGTTTCTAACTCTCTATCTCTCTCCCTTCCTCTCCGTTCCAAATCAATAAAATAAAATAAAAAATAAAATTTAAAAATTCGGTTCTCTCTCTTGCCGAAACCGGTTTGGCTCAATGGTAGAGCATCGGTCTGCGGACTGAAAGGTCCCAGGTTCGATTCCGGTCAAGGGCATGTACCTTGGTTGCAGCTGGTCGATGTTTCTCTCTCATCGACGTTTCTGGCTCTCTGTCCCTCTCCCTTCCTCTCTGTAGGAAATCAATAAAATGTATTTAAAGAAACAATTCGCCTCTCAAAAGAAACTTCAGTCGCTGTCCTGTTGATATTTGGACTAGGGTGTCCTGGGTGAGGCCACCACGGCTCAGAGGGCCAGATGGGGTCAAGCGCTGACAGGGCTCAGGGGTGGGGGTTGTGTGGGGGCAGACGGCCACAGGAGCCCTCTCAGACTGGGCATTCTCCTCAGAGAACTGCAGCGGCGCAGGCAGGACCAACACGCGGCACTCACACCACGCAGCCCTCGGAGGGTTTATTCGTGCATGTGGCGGCCCCCACCGCAGCAGCTCCTGCCCCCTGGCACCCGGACTGCAGAGGGGGAGATGGGGAGGCCGGAGCAGGACAGCAACTGGCCTCCAACCCCTGCAGCCGTGGAGAGCGAGCCCCGCGCTCAGAGTCCCAGAGTCCCGCCCAAGGCCGTGTCCATGCTGCGGCCGGGTTTCCGCTCACGTAGAAGGTGCTGGAAGAGGGCAAAGTGCAGGCACAGTGGCCGCCAGCAGTCGGGCCGGGCCCAGCACGCCTACCAGTTGTGGTTGTCCCAGCCCTCGTCCACCTGGGCAGCCTTCGGGGCGGCCTTCCTGGTGACGCTGGGCCGGCCCTCCCCGCCGCCGCCCCAGGCCTCGCCGCCATCGCTGTTGTCGCTGTTCTTATGGTTGGAGGGGGAGCCCGAGCCCCACACGTCCCAGCTGTCTGAGCTCCGCTTCTCGGCCGAGGCGTCGGCGCACGTCCAGCTGTCGCTGCTCGGGGACCTGTGGGCCGCGGCGGGGTCCGTGCTCCCGAAGGTCTCCCAGAAGCTCTGGGGGAGGGTGCTGCTCTGGGAGTTGTCCCCTCCGCTGTTCTGGTAGCTCTGGTCCGCCAGGGGCCTTGAAGGAGGGGGGCTCTGAGCAGCTGTTTCTCAAGCGCCTGGCCTTCCCCTGGCACCCCCTCTGAGAACGGGGACCCCAGGGAAACCCGGGCTGGAGGGACAGACAGGCCTCCCGCTGGAGCCGAGAGGGGCCTGGAGGGAATGGGAATGAAAGCCCAGAGAGCGGAGGCCCCGCATTGTCCGGATGGCTGCCCCCCATCCCCAGTACACAATGGGAACACCACAGCACACGGGCAGCAAAGCAGTGGCTTCCTCACGGGCCTGGGAGGCGCATCCCAGCGGGGTGGACTGGCACTGCCCACCAGGCCCCGCACAGCCACCTCCCCACCAGGTCCTCAGGGTCCTGCCAAGGGTCAGAGGAAGAGTAGGGCGGCACCCTGGGCTCTAGCAGGAAGGCCTCCTGCCCGCCCCCCAGCGCTGGGCAGCAGCTGTTCAAGGTCAAGGGGAGAACGTCAGAGCGAGGGGTGAGGGGCACCACCCAGCACTGCACCTCTGGGCCCTCAGCACCCTGGGCCATGGGGCGCCAACTGCCTCCGAGGCCCGGAGGAAAAGCCCGCGTCAGGACAGGGGCCTGGCATACCTGTCTGAGAGGTCCTCTGCTCTCCCAGAAAAGAAGGTGGTAACGTCCCGCCACCCCTTGCTGCCAACGCCCTGGACCTGGCAGGGGAGGGGACGCAGGTCAGACTCAGAGCCCACCAACGGCCTTCTGCCCCGAACGCAGCCACAAAGCCGTCCCCGCTGTCACCACCGTTCGCCCAGCAGGGTCTGCCGGCAGGCCGGCCGCTGGGGAAGTGAGGGCTGGCCCTCAGGAGCAGGGAAACTCGCTGCAGGCAGAGAAGTCAGGCTGCACCCACGCACTCTCTACCCCCGCGGTGAGTGGAGACAGGCGTCCCCAGCGTGCCCAGAGGGTCCACACTCACCAGGGGACGGTCAGCGCAGCAAGAGGATAGAAGGAAAAGAAGCGACAGGTTAGCGCCTGTGCCGCGCACGGAGCTGTCTCCACATTCCTCCGGCCGGCACGGAGCCAGCTTCAGGAGCAGCGCCAGGGCCCGCCGCGGAGGTGACCTGGGCATGAGCCCCGGTCCCATGGCGCCTGTGCCAGCGCTCAGAATGTAGAGACCGGCTCCAGCTGTGCCCGCATGTGGACGGGCACCCTACCTTGGACGCCAGCTGAGACACCCCACTGGACACATCATCAAAAATCTTTCCCTCCTTCACCTGCGTGGGCCAACAGCGTTGTTAACGGGGAGCCAGGGAAGGGGAGAGCCCAGCACCATTCCTAAAAGGACAGCAGCTGACCCCACCCCCACTCTGGGCTAACACTGCAGCATCTCCCACCACCACCTGGGGACAGGGGCACTGCCCTGAACCCCAGCCCACTGGAAGCTTCTCTTGCAGTCTGAGCCTCCTCTGTGCTACCAGCCCCTCGGGAGGGGGCCTCTCTGAACCTGGGGACACGAGGAGAGGCGGGGAGCACACAGGGAAACACAGGAAGTGCATGGGGGCACGGGGAGAACATGGAGAGCACACAGGGACTCGGGGGTCATGAGGAACACAGCCTGTCTACTGTGCCAGCCGCCCTGGGGACAAGGCCCCCGGGATACAGGAGCATGGCATGCGGAGGGGGTATTACCTTCTCCTGGGCAGGTTTGAGGACATTCTCATTCAGACTGTGGCCCAGCTCTGATGCCTGCATGAAGGACAGACGCCATGAGAGGGAAGTCGGGGAGCTCCCAGGTGCTACGTGCACCCCAGGAGGAGGGTCAGGACAGCAGCCGCCCGTTTTGCAGGGAGACAGCGAGCAGCCCACTGGCACCCGGGACTCACAGCAGCTGTGCAGACGTGGCCCCGAGCACCCTGACCACAGAGGCCAGACACGCTGCCCCCTCTACGCAGTCTTACGTACGGGAAGGGGCCAGGGACGGCACAAGCCCTGGGGCCCGCCTTGCCAGCCTTCACCCCCAGGGTCTCCCCTCAGAGCCCAGTGAATCCTGTCCGGGGAAGACAGCCGCCACAGCAGTCCTCACATGCTCCCAGGGGGTAGGGGTGCAGCCTCAGCAGCCCAGGCGAGCCCCGCGCAGCATGGAGACGGAGCAGCAGGGGCTGGCTGGGGGAGGACAGAGCTGGAAGACGATGAAGTGGGGCAGGAGTGGGATGACGGGGCTGTGAGCAAGGCCTCAGGATGGGTGTCAGGACCTCACTCCTGGGATAAGACACCTGGCAATTACTCCATGCAAGTCCTGCCAAGTAGCTCCAGTGGATCCCAGGCCGTCAGTGCCCACTGCATTCTGGTCCCCAGGCAGAAGCCCATGAGGCCAGTGCGAAGCTCGGAGCGTGCGCACACGTGAGCACAGACAGGACAGGCCACAGCAGGTGAGAGCAGGACCCAGCACAGGCCAGCAGAGGCAAGGGCATGCTGAGGGCGACGCGTGGGGCCTTACCAGCTCCGGTGGCTGCCTGGAACCCCAGAACTTTACCCAGCAGCACAGAGATGGAGCGGGGAGAGAGGAGAGAGCAAGGCAGTAGAGCAGCATGGGCACCCCGAAAAGCACCTCAAGTCATGTCACTACATCGCCCTGCCGGGGCCCAGAGTGACAGTGGAGCCCCTTTCACTGTCGCTGAACCCTGCTTTCCACTCCCATTGACCACGTGAGTGAGAGGTTCTGGGGCTGAAAGTGGGGGCTCAGAGAAGAGCAGAGCAGGGTCCCGCGCGGCGGGGGAGAAGTCACCCTCCCTCACCCGGGGCCTAGGGCAGCCCTGTGGCCGCCGCCTCCTGCTCTGACCTGCAGCCCTGGGAGGACAAGCCAGCCCAGAGCCCTGGCACCTCCTGGGCCTGCAGGGACCACTAACCAGGATTTGGGAAAGAAAAGGCTGCAACCGAGACCCTGACTACAGGAAGAAAAGACGCTGACCAGGGACACGGGACAGAAGCCAGCCCCAGGGCCCAAGGAGGCAGGCTCAGACCCAGCCTAGCCTCAGTGACGGAGCCTCCTCCCGCCCGGTGGAGCCGCCTGCTCCTTCTTGATAAAGGGCTCTGCCGGTGGCCTCGCGGCTGCCCAGCACCCAGGTGCAATGGACAGGGTGAGTTTTCAGCCCCATGGGCCTCAGCAGGTGCAGCTTCTTACCCTGCCTGGCAAACCCGCGGGCCCCTGAAGTAGTGCCCGCAGACCCGAGCTCGGGGGACATCCACACCCACAGCACTGCCCCCTCCCGGAGCGCGGGGCCCAAGGGCACACCCGGGCGTGCAGACCCCGACAGAGTAGGAGGGTGACAGAGCTCAGGGCGCAGCCTTCCTGTTACCTTCTGAGTTGCCTGCGATCCAAACTTTGTAGCCTGGAAAGGAAACAGAAGGGCGGACACACATTCTGCTGGGCTCACAGCGCTGTCCCTGGCCTGCCCATGCCCCTGGGCACAGTGCTTCCCTGCAGTGGCTCCAAGGGCCCAGCCCACCAGCGCCCCCTGGAGGGCGGCTGAAGGGGAATGGGGCACCCATACAGTCACTGGTCCAACTGGCCTCTGGGATGTGGGGCCCCCACTGGTGCCACCCCAATCCCACCTTCATGTGCCTTTCCCAGCCCAGCCGGCGCCACCCCCTCGATGCCCAGTCCCCTAATTACTATTCTAACAGGAGAGAAGAAAAGCCTGGCCACACTTCCCACTGAAAGATGCCGGACCTCCCAGGCCGCAGCCCTCCTGAGCAGCTGGACCACATGGCCAAGTGGGGGTGCCAGTGGGGGAGGCATCGTGCCACGGGGGCTTCTCTCAGGGCCTCCCTACGCCCATTCCCAGTGGCCCTCCCCGGCAGGCCAGCCAGACGGTGCGGGCTGGCGGGGACTCGGGACGCACTTACGCCCTCTTTAGCTGCTGAGGCGAACCTGCTGGCTCCGGTGGCGAGGCTGCTCCAGCCCTGGAGGGAAGCAGAGGCACGTCAGGCCACACAGGCTGCCAGCTCGCCCGTACCATCTCCTTCCGGAGGAGGCCTGACCTCTCAGAGTGATGTCACTGACGGGAGAGCGGGCTGGACTACGGGATGGCCCCTCGGGCCCACCCAAGCCCCCGCCTTAAGCCCCTCCTGCAGCTCTCGATGCCCCACTGCTCTCTGAGGGGCGAGCCCAGGGCCCTGCAGACAGACAGTCCTGGGGCGGGTGGGGCACTCCACCTCTTCTCTTTTGACTCAGGTTCCTCCTAAGCCTCCAAACCAACTCAAACTATTTAGGAAAATAGACATCTGACTTAAACCCGCCACAGCCGTCCGCTCCCGACGAAACGCAGGAGCTTGTGTGCAGGCGGCATTCTCATCGGACAAGGCCAATGCCCGCGGCGCCGGGACAACGAAGACTCAAAACCCGGCCTTCTGGAGGGCGGCATCTTTCTCCAAAGAAACTCCTGCCCAGGAGGCTGGCACCACAGGCCTGCTTCCCGCCCCGAGACCAGCTGAGCCTGGCGACAGGTGGTTTTAAACCACTTGCTGAGCAGCTCCTTCCTGTGAGTACTGTGCTGGTCAGGGGGTGTCAAGGGGCAGAGTGAGCCTCCTGCCACGCCTGAGCCAGGACCCGGAGCTCCCTGCGGCCTCTGCACACACACGGCACCGCGGCCTGTGGCCGCCTGCCCACATCCCCAGTGCTTCCTCTGCTTGGCCCCCCTAAGACCCTGTCCCACCAGCAGCAGAGCCCTCTCTTCCCAGCAAGGCCCTCAGGTGTGTGCAAGTATTCCTATCACATCGATGCTTTGATGGAGCAACTCCAATTTTTTAAGACAGTGACTATTTCTTTGGAATACAATAGTTCGACCAGAAGCAGCCTATGCAGGTAGGGACCATGCATGGCTGAGTGCCATCCCCAGCTTAGAGACTCTGCCACCAAACCTCATCTTTACTACACTGGCCAGGAAAGCAGCATGAGGACCAACAAGGGCTGCCCGGGAGAGACGGCCCGTCAGATCCACATGGAACGTTCGTTCTTTGGAGGAAATGCACCTTGTCAACTTGAAATGTATGTTTGCTGTCAAAGTAAGCGAGTGAGGACTTCTGGGATCCGAATGACACACACAAGACGTGGTGAGGGAGAGGGAGGGACCAGCACTGGCCGCCTGGGCAGGCGCCCCCTCCCGCCGGGCGCACTCACAGGGGCTGCTCACCGAGTACAGGGACGACATGGCGCTGTTGAGAAAATCGTCCTCCTTCTTCGGAGGTGGCACGGTGTTCCCAAACCCCACGTAGCGACTCTCCGGGGCCCTGGCAGGGAAACACAGCAGCCACCGCCCACTGGAACCCCTGCTGCTGTGTCCAGCTGAGGAGCCCCACACGGCAAGGCCACGCCACCACACAGGGCGCAGGAGCCATCCAACACGGCCAGGTGATGGCTCCAGGACCACCCGCGACGGCCAGGCAGAGCCCATACAGACGCGTGTTCTCCCCGAAGGATTAGACCCCTCCGCTCCAGACCCCATTCCGAGCGGGCTGGCCGTCCTCGTCCGAGCGGCCAGACCTCCAGCTCCCCACGCCTGGCCTCACCCTTGGTAGGAGCTGAGGTCCTCATTCAGCCAGTCCTCAAAGGCCTTGTCCGAGGCGGCGGTCGAGCTCTGCGGCTGGCCGGAGGCCCTGAAATGGAGCCTACAGTTGGTGGGCCACCAGAGGGCAGCAGATCCCGCTGGCACCACCCGGGCACCTGGCCACACCTGGGCTCCTCTACCAACAGCCAGGGAGGCCGAGGTGGACTCCAGCTCTATCCAGAAGTTAGCTCATGCAGCCAACAAGAAGCAGGTGCGGCCTTATGGACGACCTAACGATAGGGCAGCAGGTGGGAGGACCCTGGCACCCCGGGGTGAGTGGGGAGCCTTCTGAGACCAGTCACACCCAACACCAGCCTCCGATGTCTGAGATGCAAGATGAGCACCTGCAGTCTGGGGGGTGGGCGACCTTCACAAAGGACAGGAGACATGTGTCCTACAGAACTGCATGCATGTCACGGGCACATTCTAGAAGGATCTGCACTCGGTTAGTGCCTGAAGAGTGTGGAGAGGGCAGGCTTTCTTTCAGACACATCTTCCCTGGCTGACAACGAAAGCTTGTATTGCTTTACTCCCGAAGAGGTGGTTTCCCACTGCTCTGGAATAGCGCACACTGCTGTAACCAGGTCAGCACAGGACCCTGAGCTAAGGTCAGTGACAGCGGAGAGCAGCGGCCAGAGGCGCGGTACCGGTAGGCAGCGGATGGCAGTGTCTTGGACTGCGGCGGGGTCCAGTTCTGCGCAGGCGATGACTCCAAAGACCATTCTCTGCCTTCGGCCAGAGCTGCCACCTGCCGAGGGAACAGGGCTTAGAGCACAGGCCTGTGAGGGCCACTGTGGGCGGTGCTGTCCTCCTGGGCTCAGTGGCCATGGCAGGATCTCTGCCTGTGTGAACACTGAGGCCGGCCTCCCTCTGCAGCAGTGTGGGGAGTTCTTGGTCACCTCTGTCCCCCACAGGCTCCACTGTCCTCAGGAGCATCTTCACAAAGATGGACAGAGGTGTGGGAGCCCGTTTCCCAGGGGTGGCAAGGAAGGCTCCTCCTTCACCCCTGCTAACCACACGCCACCTGCCTCCCTGGGTGGGGGGATACAGGGAGAACATGGTCCAGACAGGGCCACACGCCCTCTGCACATGGACTGGAGTCACTAAAGTCTAATGGGAGCAGCCTGGGCACCACTCGTGGCCTCACCTTGTCCCTGAAGAGGGCGGCTGCTTTGCTGTTGTACTTGTCCTGCAGGGACCAGCAGGGGTCATAGTCCTCTTGGGACTCCAGGAACTGTTTGAACTTTGCATTCCCACCAGCTTTCATCTTCTCGAGCTCAATGTCCTTCCACTTATCCATAGTGACAGAGCGCACGAAGCTACAGGCGAGGATCAAACCAGTTATCGAGTGCTTGGCGGTGAAGAGCCCCCCACACTGTGGATTAGACACGTGTGCTTCCATGACAGAAGCGTCAGCCACGGAGCTGCGGAGTGCGGTGGGTGCTGCGCCCTCGGGGCGCTGAGCGGCAGCGCGCAGGCACTGACCTGAGGTGCACTCCGAGCCCGCGGTGCTTCCCCGAGCACTCCAAGCAGATCCAGATCCCGTAGGTCACACTCACCCACTGAGGGTTGAACGCACCACACTCAAAACACACCTGTGGAGAGGGTCATGTGCAACTTGCCCAGGTGGCTCAGGGCGGCCCCAGAGCCCAGGGACCCCAGACACCTAATGGCTGGCCCCAAGAGGGAGCAGAGGAGAAGCTGACTGGGAAGCCGACAGAGGCAGGGAGAGCAAGCTCGGAGGCTGCAAGCCACTCCTGGGAGGTTCAAGAGCCCTGAACCAAAGCATCAGAAACACAGACACTCACATTGTTTCCATCCTGCACCCTGACTTCCTTCAGAGCCTTCCTGGTCCTTGGGCTGGCCATAATGCTGCGAAGAAGAAAAACGAACTTTTAATACTTACAAATAGGTCACTTCACAAAACATCCACAGTCCGTGCAAACCGTTATAAAACACAGCTTCGGAGGAATTCCTCTAAGCCTCTCAGAAGCGACAGGGTGAGACCTCTGCTCCTGCAGGCAGATGGAGCCACTCCAGAGCTGTCTCCACTCTAAGAAAGGCAGGAACAGCTCGACTGCCTGGCCAAGGCAATGCAATGATCGGAAACAACACGGGCTTGCCCTCTGCTTAACCACCAGGTGCCACACTGGGTACGTTATGTGGAGTCCTGAACCGCTCACTGAAGACCGACATACCAGACTGGGCTGACAGCCTTCAGACAGAGGCCGCGGCTCTCCCCACCAGCCCCACGGGGTGCAGGGAGGCCCTGACTGATGCGAGGAGGCTGGCTCGCAGGAGGGTCTCAAGGTAGGTCGCTGTGGGGCCATCATGAGGGATCAAGGTGACAGCATGGCCACAGTAGGGCAACCAGTCACCACATCTCACAAGGACACTGCTGGGAGCAATAGCCACACACCTTGACTAGAAAGCCATTTCTTTTCTTTATTCTTTTAATCTTTATTGTCGAAAGGTATTCCAGATGTCCCCTTTTCCCCTCACTGGCCCTCTCCATCTTACCCCACCCTTTTTCTCTTTTTAAGTTTTTTTAAATTGATTTTTTAGAGAGAGTAGGGACAGGGAGAAATACAGATTTGAGAGCGAGACATCTATTGGCTGCTTCCTACATACCCACTGCTGGGATCAAGACTGCAACCCAGGCATGCGCCCAGACAGGGATTGTGCAGGCAGCCTTCTGATGCAAAGGATGATGCCCAACCCACTGAGCTACACCGGCCAGGGCCAGCCATTTGTTTCTTTGTAGACCTTCTAGCTTTGGCAAAGTTCAGCCTCCACTGGTGGCCCACTGACTTCATGAGCAGGAAAATCAAAATGATAAAAAGATTCAAGCTGGAGACATGAGGTGGGGGTCATGCACAGCTTTGGACATTAGTGATCCCCACAGGTTCTGTGTCCACCACCTGGGGTCGGGCCTGGATTCCAGGTCATCTCCACCGCCACCAGCCCCCTCTGAGTGTGTGGCCTCTCCGAAGATGGCCTTCTCTGGACTGGGAGTGGAACCTGTGAGCTACCCCTGACTGACATGGCAGCACACACCCGTGGGAGAACACCTGAGGGTGTCCGTGTGAGCAGTGTGCCTAGCCACGCCGCACACCTGCTCTGTGGGGACGCTGCCACACCTCCAGCTCTCTGCTCTCACTGCTGCCAGCTCTCCGGTGAACAGCGTCGTGAAGCTTCAGTGGAGGCGCAGGGAAAAGCAAGATCAGAAGAATCTCCGTCCAAATTCCATCTTTACCCTGAGCTACTCAGGGAGGGGAACCCTGTTCTCACACAGCCAAACCAAAGCCTGGAGACCAGGACTCTGGTGTTCCTGAGTCCACTTCTAGGCCAGGTAAAGTGAAGAAATAGAGATCTGTCTTCTGTAATTGATGGAAACAAACCAGACTTCACCCAATACTCCGTTCTGCCTGGAGTTCTCTGTGCTGCTGTGCTGGTCCCTAAAAATGGGCAGATCTGAGGGCAAACACACCAAAGCAAAGTCCTGCCCAGGACCGGCCCCCAGACGGAATCCTCCTGGGTGACAGGCAGTGGTGACAGGCAGAAACGGGCTGAGACTCCTGGAAAGAGGTGCTGGTGGGTCTGAATTTACAAAGCCCTTTGCAGACCCTCATTTCCCAGCAACCACAGGAGAGCCCGTGTGGTGTGGTGTGGTGTGGTGTGGTGGGCAGAGCAGACCGCACACCTGCCGACACAGGTCCCCACACAATTCCAGTCTGGTCCACAGAATATGGGCAACAGAAGTCAGAACTGGGGGGAGCCTGCTCTGAATTCTCACTGTGTCAAATAAAGTGAAGTGAACGTTTGCACAATCGCTAAAGGGAGATTATGTGAAAAGTAAATTACTTAGCTTCAATTTAAAAGGAACCCCCCCCCCCTCCATTGGCAACTGATTTGGGATGTGAGAATCCTGATTTCTCTGAAATGCTAAGGTATTGTTCTTTTTTGTTAATCCTCACTGGAGATTTCCCCATTGATTTTTAGATGCAGTGGAAGGGAGGAAGGGAGCAGGAAAGAGAGAAACATTGATGTGAGAAACATAAATTGATTGGTTGCCTCCCACATCCACCCAGACTAGGGCCCAGGATTGAACCTGCAACCCAGGTACATGCTCTTGAGAAGGAATCAAACCCACAACCCTTGGGTGTGCAAACCAACGCTCTAACCACTGAATCACACGAGCCAACCTGAAATGCTGTTTAACATAAACATCTCCTCCCTTTTAAAACCTTAACTATGGCCTGGCTGGTGTGGCTCAGTGGTTGAGCATCTTCCTCTTAACCAGGAGGTCTCAGATTCTGGTCTGGGCTGCAGGCTCCATCCCCAGTAGAGGGTATGCAGGAAACAACCATTAGTGATGTTTCTCTCCCCCACTCCCTTCCTCCCTCTGAAATCAATAAAATCTTGTTTAAAAGAAAAACTTTATTGTTTATGATCCAAGAACTCCCATTTTTTACACTTGAAACCGGGATGGTCCAATGGACCTCTTTCTGCAACTGAATGTACGCTAAACGCAGTGAGGACCCGGTTTCCTAGTTCATTAGGCCATGTCAGACTGCAGAACGTTTGGTCTTATGTTAGGACTTTCTCAACATCTGAGATCCCCAGGGATGACGAAAGGACACTGCTTGGCCCTCACGTCCGTGAGGGCTGTTACCCAGGTGACAGGTAGAAAGCACCCAAAGCGGCTCCATTTAAGAACAGCCCTTTCTCATTCCAATAGGCTTATTTCTCGGAAAAAGACGCCAAACCAACCCAAGAGCCGGTTCTTGCGCCCATTCGGCACCATCAGCAGCAGGGCAGAAATATCAGGCCTGCACTAAACGAACACAATTGTGTCTCAGAGCTGGTGGTTTACAATGAGGTTACCAGGCCATCAGACAAGAAGCACAGTTCTCCATAAATCCCCGTAAACCGGGGAATTAGAGTCCTCTCCGGGTCCCCGCCCCCAGACGATCGCCCACTGCAAAGGGCAAGAGAAGGGAACGAAAGTGCTCAGGCCGCCCTCCGGACTAGCCAGGCCCCCAACACCCGCTGGGAGGCTCCGATTTAATGGACGTCCTGTAGAGGCCAGGTCCTGGGTCCGAGAGGGAGCAGGGGCCGGCCGGCGGGCTCAGGGTGGGAATGAAGGGCGGGGGCTTGGGGGCGGCTGCAGAAGAGGGGATGGCGGCCGGGGGCGTCGCGGAGCCGGGCCGGTGGGCGGGCGCGGGGGCTCGGGCCGCGCGCTTACCAGGCGGGCTCGATCCTGAGCACCGGGATCCGGCGGGGTCGGCGGGGTCCGGCCGCGGTCAGGCGGCGAGCTGCACCGAGGATTCTCGCCCGCAGCCTACCCCGCCGCCACCAGCTTCCGGCTACGTTGCTCCTCGCAGAGCATCACGGGAAACCGGGGGCTGCTGGCAGGGGCGGGACTTCCGCCTCTACCCGCCAGGCCGGAAGCGCCTCCCAGCCTCCGTCGTCTTGGGGACGCGTCGCGGAAGTGAGCTGGAGACCCGCGCCGGCCGCGCTCGGTCCGCACTCCGTCGCTGGGCGCCACCTCCGCCACGCCCTGTGCGCCCCGCAGACCCCGACGCCGCCGCGCAAGGCAGGCCGGGGCGGGGCCGGCGACCTGTGTCTGAAAGGATGGTCCTGCGGGCTTGGGACCGCCTGCCATCCGTACCGCGGACACGGAAATGCTTGCGCGGGCACGATCAGATGCCTGCTCAAATTAGGGTGATCTGAGGATGGCTTATTTACGAAAGGACTAATTAGGAATGTGTGGACGGGTTTAGGGGAACCACAGGAATTGTGCAGGAAGCCTGGCCGGTGACGTCTGTAGGCTCCTAGGAAACGGGGACGTAGAGGTTCCCGCACTCTGGAAGGCGTCTTCAGGACCGCTGTCACCTCGTGGCCAGCGCTACGTGACCAGCAGGAGAAGCTCGAAGAATAAATACCTGGCCTCTCTGACCTCTCGCCCTCTGATCTGATTTTGCCTCCCGTTGGCCGAGCCCATTGCTGTAGGGGAAGGTGGAGAGGGTAGGAGGGGGTGTGGAACAACTGGAAGGGAGGGAGAGACAAAGCAGGCACTTCTGACACAGACATTGGGAGCCAGCTGCAAAGCAGTGTGAATAGTGAGTCCCAAGTACGTGAGCATGTGATTGTGGAAAGGGAACTGTTTAGATTGATGATTTAGGGGGCGGGGGGGATAATTGCAAGTGATTTGTTTCGCTTTGACATTATGCTCTCCTGTGCATTCCACATATTTTCACTCATCTATGTAACTTTTGGAGTGATCAAGTGTAAACATTATTACTGAGGCACAATTTATATTCAATAAAATGTACAGTTCAGCCATGGCTGGTAGGGCTCAGTTGGTGAGAGCATCATCCATGTTTCTCACATCAATATTTGTTTGTTTTTCTTTCTCCCTTCCTCTTGCTCTAAAATCAATAAAAACACAGTTTTTATTTTATTTTTATTTTTTTATTTATCAATCTTTATTGTTCATATTATTACAAAGGTTCCTCATTTCTTCCCCCCTCCACCAGGTTCCCACCCCACCCTCTGCCCCATTGTCCTCATCCATAGGTGCACAGTAAAAACACAGTTTTTAAAAAGATTTAAAAAAATAAAATGTTCAGTAAGTTTTGACAAATGCATATCCCATTGTAACCTCCACCAGAGGCAACCACCGTGCTCAGTTCTCAGACCTTAGTTTTGTCTGTTTGAGAACTTCGTGTAAATAGAATCACACAATAAGTGGCCTTTTGTGTGGCCCTTTTGTGTGGCTCTTTTGCTGAGCATCATGTATTCAAGGCTCATCTATGTTGTAACATGAAACAGGGCCCTCCATTCCTTTTTATTGGTGAGTAAA